TCCCCAAGAGGGCATTTGAAGGCATAGACGACGTTAGTCTCTTTTAAAGCGTTCTGTTTTGTGTCTGGAGAGTTTCTCATGAGTAGGCTGGCCGTTTTTCTGGTTTTATAGTAAATCGTCAGTTGTATCCTTTGATTTTTGTCTGTAGGGATAACGTTTCTATTAACAATATCTTTCAGGACCCTTTCCTCCGTTTTATGAGCTGTGGAAAAGAAGTTCCTGTAAAATAGTCTAATAGGGGGTATAGGTGTTGTGTTAGTTGTCTCTTCAGAGGTTGCATGGCGTTTCACTTTCCTTCTTATGATGTCTTCGACGAAACCATTGGAGAAGCCGTTGTTGACTAGGACCTGCCTTACCCTACAGAGTTCTTCGTCGACTTGCTTCCATTCTGAGCTGTGGCTGTGTATATATATATGTATATATATATATATATATATATATATATATATATATATATATATATATATATATATATATACACACACCTGAGAAGGTATACATAACCCCGTGTTATTCGGATTATTCATGAATGTATACCGTATAGTACGAAAGCCTTTGAGGAGTCGTATATACACATTTTGATTCTACATTGGCCACTCCAGAAACTATATACGCATTAAATAATCAGTTTCAAGTGTTTATTTTATGTTTTGCGTCGTGCTGCTTTCCTACTTACCTAAATACCTACCCACCTACCCATCTACCCATCTACCTATCTACCTTCTAATGTAGGTAGACCCCCATAATGGTTATACGTATTTGACTGGCATTTGTAAACGAATAACACCCATATATTTTCACCCGGGGAACAAATCAATAGCAAACGACTCGAGTGTGTTCACATCTCAGGTGCTGTGAGCGATTTAGAAATAATACAACTGCAAAAAATCTTTTCCTGTGCTATATATTGACCCGTTTTCTGCATACAATATTGACAAAAATATCCTTGACCAATTAACTTGGGTTTTAGAGACAAGTTTGAAGAGCGTGTAGAGAGGCCGCCTGGCGCGTGACACAGCCATAAAAGATATAGATGCAAACAGTAGTGGGAAAATGGCATGAAATGACGTAGAAGCCATATATAATAATGACATTTTGAGCGATATTGTTAAGGTCGGGTAACAACGTCTTAATAAGTCATTCAGAGGAATAACGCGAGAAATCTGGGACGTCGCAAGCAGGCCATTTTAAGCTCATGTTGTTCTCCAATCAGTTCTTGAAATTTATTGAGATGTGTTACAATAGTGCTGGGGAAAAAATGGAGCAGAGTCCACTCATCCACAGTCCTATTTTGCTAATCAGAAACTCTCTCTTTTATACTTCCTAAAACGAGCTCATTTCAGCTTGTCTCCGTCGTTACGAGTCCTGGAGCCAGATTCACGAAAGCACTTACGCAAGCACTTACGAACGTGTACATCTTTCCTCAATCTTTGACGGCTTTGGTTACATTTATGAAACAGTTTACAAGCATGAAAACTTCCCATTCAACTGTTGTTATTGTTATAAACAGCCTCCTGGTGCTTCGGAGCTCATTAACTGTTTAATAATTGTAAACAAAGCCGCCAAAGATTGAGACAAGATGTACAGGTTCGTAAGTGCTTGCGTAAGTGCTTTCGTGAATCTGGCCCCTGATCTATTCCAACTATTTAAGAGTTGTTGTTGTTGTTGTTTAAGATTAACTACCTGGAACAAAGTTCCAAGTAGCACGGGCTATGGTGAGCCCGTAGTGCCTTTCCTTGTATTTTAGAGCCCCCCCTCTTACTTTATGTCTACTTGAAGACCTCAACCATATCCTCCCTCTTAGTACAGACACAAGAAAAATACCGTTTTAAGTTATTCTACTCCATAATATTGGTCGTAATAAATGCACGAGAAAATACCGGCACCAGTTGTGAAAGGTATGAATAATATGGCCCGTCACATGGTTTATGGATAGCGTGGCAATGATCGGAGGCAGAGAACTTAACTATCACGAGTAAAAAACAAAGCAAAAATCTGAAAGACGCCAGCCACACTTTGCGTCGCGAAGATGTGGACACTAAGGTCTAGAGTTGAGGCAGGTTGAGATAGGAGTGTGGCTCTAGGCAGCAGCGTGTCACACCTTGCTGCGGGCAGGGAGGTGACTGTGGGAAGCTGTAAAAGATAAATGCACATTGTAGCGGTGGTTGTGGTCGGGGCGGTAATTGCCAAGTCAGAGGTTCGTGGTAGCGCCTCTTTTTTTAGCCTGGAGGTTTTTTGTCAGTATCTACGGTGCATTCATCAGCCATAGCCAATGGGGGACATTGCGGTTTGCTAGGTGTGAGAAAATATCGGGTTTCGGAGCTTCATCATCGTCACTGTCAATATGACTTTTAGAAGCGGAAAACATAGTGAATATGGTGCGTATACGTATTAGAGCTTGTGTTGTTTACCACCTTCGATGACCCCCCTAAAAACGCACCTCTTAAACCTTAACGAGCAAGCCGACGAGTTCAGAGCATCGGCCCCACATTCCTGAAGGACAGTTCAGGTGACGACGGAGAGCAATTTCCATCTTATCGGTTCCTTGCAGATTGAAAATAAGTTGAAATATATTTAATTTGTGTACGATTGACGGGTCATCAATGACAAGGGCGTGCAAAACGGAAGGGGGGGGAGGGGTGAAACCTGTGTGTAGGGGGTGGCGTGGGAGAGGGCGCGTGGCGGGCAGATGGGCGTGTGGTGACAGGCGCGTGTAGATGATGATGAGGTAGTGGAACCGCCCGCGGCACGCCCACGGCACGCCCGCGGCAGGCAGGGGTCAGGGAGGAACTTGCTCTCCAAGACTTCATGTGATGCTGCGGTGACGGGGAGAGAGAGAGAGAGAGAGAGAGAGAGAGAGAGAGAGAGAGAGAGAGAGAGAGAGAGAGAGAGAGAGAGAGAGATATATGGATGCTGCCCTAAAAGAATCTCGAAGATATGATGCTACAAGAAGATGGGTGGGGGGAGGGGGGGGTAATGGTAGATGTAGATGCGTAGAGAGCTGATCCTGATGATACCTGGCAACAGTAGAAGGGGAGATATTGTCGAGTTGTGACAAAAAATGATCAGATGAAAAAAAAAGAGTTAAGGGTGTGTGAAATCTTTAGGTATCAACCGTCCTTTTTTTTGTTCTCTAATATGACGGTAGTTACGTGTGGTAACTATTGTCACAGACTGCTATTTAGGGTAGAGTAATATTGGCGGTGGTGGCAGGCCAAGTGGTGGCAGCCCAGGTGGTGGCAGCCCAGGTGGTGGCAGGCCAGGTGGTGGCAGACCAGGTGGTGGCAGGCCAGGTGGTGGCAGACCAGGTGGTGGCAGGCCAGGTGGTGGCAGAAGGGAATTAATAGATACATTAGGGACGACAGCCATCAGTCCACTCCAAGATAGAGATAAGTCAAATGGCTGGGATATAAGCACAGTACAATGTACAAAGATTATCTACACTAATCCACACACTACTGACTATCTTCTGTGTTGCTGGAGATCAGGGAGGCTCTCTCCCTACTCCTCGCCTTATACTGGAGTCATAGTAACAGCATGGCAAGATGACACATGCCAAGAACACTTTGACAGGAATGGCAAAATAATATTCCTAAGTTACTAATGAGGATAGAGTCTTTTTTTATTTAATGAGTTTGGAAATTAGTATGATTTGCCAACTCGTGCAAAGACCCACGAGGTCAAAGGGCTCGATCCCCGACCCTCCTATCTGACCGTTCCGGGAAAATGACCAGTCACCCTGCAAAGTTCGGTGAGGCTAGCCATAGGCGTCTGGCCCTCCCGACCTCGATCACACATTCTAACTTTATAGATAGAAATGATGGTATTAGTTTAGTCACCCTTATCAAGCACACTATCACGCTGTTTGTCAGCTATTTTGTAACTAAAGAGTTCACAACTGCACAGCGTGTCCCAAGTGAGGCCACACTGACGCTATACAGTGTTAGTATACTGTCTTAGGGGAGTTAATAATAAACAAATTCTTACTCTGAAACTATAAGTGTTTTATTTGCTAGTTGTTCGCGGCTAAGGAAGTGTGTTTCAGATCACCACCGACGACCACTTTCAGTATCCTCATCTTCGGCTACCTGAGCACGAGACCTTTCTCATAACATTTCAAACTCACTACACACAGAGATCACACTAAGGTGATGCATCAAATGAACAAATCCACAAGGGCCGTGACGAGGATTCGAACCTTCGTCCGGGAGCATCCCAGACACTGCCTTAATCGACTGAGCTACGACAGGGTTAAAAGGGTTGAAACCGAAGTTGCTCAGTCGATTAAGGCAATGTCTGGGATGCTCCCGGACGCAGGTTCGAATTCTCGTCACAGCCCTTTGTGGATTTGTTCATTTCAAACTCACATTTGGTATTGCAGCCAAAAGAGTACAATAACCTTTATTTACACAGTTGTTGCCTTCAACCTCGTTATCTTGAGATGTTATCTTGAGATGATTTCGGGGCTTTTTAGTGTCCCCGCGGCCCGGTCCTCGACTGTTCTGACAGTTCCTGCGACGGCGTTGGAATCAATCGTATTGGCGTTTGGAGACTTTCGGCGCCGTGGAGAGAGCAGGAGACCAGCTGCATGGGTAACAGCTTCTCCCCCCGAATCAATCAACCCAGGCTTTGCGCCCTGGAGAGGCCACTCCAGACCGACAACCAGAACCCAACTCCATAGTCTCCTGAGACTGATGAATGCCTACTGCTATACACACATATGGAAACTCATCAATCATCACCACATTGAAGGTCTTACAGTTCCCCTTTCCCTGGATAATTAAAACATCAGTCATATGTATGGTAATATTCCAGCAGCATTTTTTTTCCATTCCTGGCGACTCTTCTCCATTTGAGATGGAAGTTGAAGACTTTAATAGTTGAAGATCATTTTGCATTAATTTGCATGTAAGGCTGCGCTAAGGTACGAGTTAGCATCCTTAGAGGCATTGGGAAGGTGATTATAACGAGATAAATCTTATGGTGACTACTCCCTCTAGACCCCAGGACTAGGCCCAACATCACCGGACCTCAACATCACCGGACCTCAACATCACCGGACCTCAACATCACCGGACCTCAACATCACTGGACCCCCGACATCACCGGACCCCCCAACATCACCGGACCCCCAACATCACCGGACCCCCAACATCACCGGACCCCCAACATCACCGGACCCCCAACATCACCGGACCCCCAACATCACCGGACCCCCAACATCACCGGACCCACAACATCACCGGACCCACAACATCACCGGACCCCCAACATCACCGGACCCCCAACATCACCGGACCCACAACATCACCGGACCCCCAACATCACCGGACCCCCAACATCACCGGACCCACAACATTACCGGACCCACAACATCACCGGACCCCCAACATCACCGGACCCCCAACATCACCGGACCCCCAACATCACCGGACCCACAACATCACCGGACCCCCAACATCACCGGACCCCCAACATCACCGGACCCCCAACATCACCGGACCCCCCAACATCACCGGACCCCCAACATCACCGGACCCACAACATCACCGGACCCCCAACATCACCGGACTCTGTACTGTCGTACCATGAGTGTTCACTACACACTCTCGTACACCCACACACCAGGTGCTGCCGCCCTACGGCGCCGCCCTGGGGGCGCGTCCCGTCGACCCGCGGCCGCGCCAGGAGCCCTCCGGAGGGTCACAAGAGGGCGTGGGGGCCACGCCCGCCCACGACACACGCACGCCACGCTCCGCCAGGCACCTGTTTCACCTGTTGCTGTGTTCCCCTAATTACGGGGCGGCTGCGGCCGACGAGGTGGGGGGGGGGGGGTGAGTGTGAGGATGGAGGGGGGGGGGGGGTGAGGGTGGTTGAGTATTGTTTCTAATGGAAAGAGTGAGTAGGTGTGAGGGGGGGGGAAGACATTATGAGGAATGATGGATATATGGAACCTTTCTGACGTCAGGCCAATGAGATAACTGGGGTGTTGCTTGGGAAAGACTGGGAGGAGAGACTAATAGGTTGTGAGGGGTGACTGGTATAGATTGTGAGGGATGATTGGAAGGTTGTGATGGGGGGGGGGAAGACTGGGAGGCTGTGTGAAGTATCGAACTCTCTTTCACATAGAGCTATCTGAAGTCTTGACTAGTTTAGTAGTAGTCATCCATCAGTCTCAGGAGACTATGGAGTTGCGCTCTGATTGTCGGTCTGGAGTGGCCTCTCCAGGGCGCAAAGCCAGAGTAGGTTGATATAGAGAAGCTGTTACCCATGCAGCAGGTATATTCCCCCCCTCTTGATGGCGCCGTAAATCTCCAATAAAATGGCAAACACCAATACGATTGGTTCCAGCGCCGTCGCAGGAACTGTCAGAACGACAACAACGAAGGGTCCCACGGGGCTCTAGCTACGTAGTTGACCTCGAGGTTGGTAAAAGAAGACATAAGGACTACCACACTAGAAAGACACATGTAGTCTTGTGTGACTACTTCACTTATTACTTATAAGTGACTATTACTTATTAGCCAGTGTTATCCCAGACCTGCGTACTTATGATATATGATGTAAACTCCGCTACAGTGGTTTACAAATGATGTGATTTGGAAAGCCCGAACCCTCCTAAGATTTTCACAATGTCAGGAAAACAGTAAATTTAGAGTGTTCTTTCCTAACCTGCCAGGGGACCCAAAACAGTGTGTGTGTGTGTGTGTGTGTGTGTACTTACCTAATTGTAGTGTGTGTGTGTGTGTGTGTGTGTGTGTGTGTTTGTTTGTGTGTGTGTGTGTGTGTGTGTGTGTGTGTGTGTGTGTGTGTGTGTGTGTGTGTGTGTGTGTGTGTGTGTGTGTGTGTGTGTGTGTGTGTGTGTGTGTGTGTGTGTGTGTGTGTGTGTGTGTGTGTGTGTGTGTGTGTGTGTGTGTGTGTGTGTGTGTGTGTGTGTGTGTGTGTGTGTGTGTGTGTGTGTGTGTGTTGTGTGTGTGTGTGTGTGTGTGTGTGTGTGTGTGTGTGTGTGTGTGTGTGTGTGTGTGTGTGTGTGTGTGTGTGGTGTGTGTGTGTGTGTGTGTGTGTGTGTGTGTGTGTGTGTGTGTGTGTGTGTGTGTGTGTGTGTGTGTGTGTGGTGTGTGTGTGTGTGTGAACTCACCTAGTTGTACTCACCTAGTTGTGTTTGCGGGGGTTGAGCTCTGGCTCTTTGGTCCCGCCTCTCAACCGTCAATCAACAGGTGTACAGATTCATGAGCCTATCGGGCTCTGTCATATCTACATTTGAAACTGTGTATGGAGTCAGCCTCCACCACATCACTTCCTAATGCATTCCATTTGTCAACCACTCTGACACTAAAAAAGTTCTTTCTAATATCTCTGTGGCTCATTTGGGCACTCAGTTTCCACCTGTGTCCCCCTTGTGCGTGTTCCCCTTGTGTTAAATAGACTGTCTTTATCTACCCTATCAATCCCCTTCAGAATGTGTGTGTGTGTGTGTGTGTGTGTGTGTGTGTGTGTGTGTGTGTGTGTGTGTGTGTGTGTGTGTGTGTGTGTGTGTGTGTGTGTGTGTGTGTGTGTGTGTGTGCGTGTGTTGCGTGTGTGTGTTGTGTGTGTTGCGTGTGTGTGTTGTGTGTGTGTGTAGTGTGTGTGTGTGTGTGTTGTGTGTGTTGCGTGTGTGTGTTGCGTGTTGCGTGTGTGTGTGTGTGTGTGTGTGTGTGTGTGTGTAGTGTGTGTGTGTGTGTGTGTGTGTGTGTGTGTCTACTGTATTTCATATGAATACATTATTTTTCATCCACTGAGCTATATCGACTCTTTTTATATAAAAGTTTTTTGTTATCGTAAACTATTGCCAATTTATGTGTAATTCGCGTTTGACTTTGTAATTATTATAATTGGAGTCTGAAATTGATGTAACTGACATTGGAAATCAAGTTTTTTTGGAGGTGAATATAAAAATGATAATTTTTTTTTCTCTTCGTCTAATTGTACTCCTTCTGGACCTGGTGAACTAAGGTCAACTAGGGGTCAAGGTGACAATTATAGACATTACAAGGCTGTAATCTTTTGGCAACAGACAGACGGTTATAGGCAAGAGCGGCATTCAATCCTCTTAAGGTCGTAACTCTGCGTGTACGAGGGCTGGTACATGGCACTTATAGCTTCCTGGCCACCAGGAAAAGTGTCTGGTTAGATGTTTGTCTGTAAGGTTAGTTTGTGGTTAGTGTAGGGGGGGAGGAGGAGTGGTGGTGGTGGTGGTGGTGGTAGTAGTGGTAGTGGTGGTGATTCTACTACCAACACTTACCTACCAGTGTCTTCGGGAGTGTGAGGAGCTATAATTAGTTATACCCCCGCCTACTAGCCTTGTTACACCTGTTGAGTTACAGGTAAACTATCCCTCACGTTCGCGTCTCTTGCTGAATGTGGCCTTAAAGTTGTGGATAGTGGTGGATAGTGGAGTTGTTGCACACGAGGTGGTCAAGATGATGTGGCAATCGTAGCGATGTGGTGGTGGTGGGGCATTGTGGTAGTGGTGGTAGTGATGGGGCATTGTGGTAGTGGTGGTGGTGGTGGGGCATTGTGGTAATGGTGGTAGTGGTGGGGCATTGTGGTAGTGGTGGTGGTGGTGGTGATGAGCCATTGGGGTAGTGATGGTGGTGATAGGGCATTGTGGTAGTGGTAATGGGGCATTATGGTAGTGGCGGTGTACCATGAAATCACATCATTCACGTAATGTATCAATGAGACAATCAGTAGCAGCCGTGCTGTGGGCTCAAACCTGCGCACCGGGTACTTCCTATGTTTGGGAGTATCCAATGTAGTTGCAAGTTCGAATCCTCGTCGTGGCTTCTACTGATTATCTCAATGTTGATGGTGGTGATGCTGATAGTGGTGGTAGGGGGTGGTGGTGATGATGTAGATAGTGGAGGTGGTGATGGTGATGATTCTATAGGCACAGGTGGTGATGCTGTAGCCTAGGTAATATATACAATTTATATTCACCAATCCACATGACTTTGTCGGTGAATATTACACTGTTGTATTCCAGGAACAAAATCCACATTTATATCAATCCCTTGACAAGCCCTTGGCAAGGTACCTTGGCAAGGCCCCTGGCAAGGCCCCCTGGCAAGGTACCCTGGCAAGGCCCCTGGCAAGGCCCCTGGCAAGGTACCCTGGCAAGGCCCCCTAGCAAGGTACCCCTGGCAAGGTACCCTGGCAAGACTCCTGGCAAGGCCCCTGGCAAGGTACCCTGGCAAGGCCCCTGGCAAGGTACCCCTGGCAAGGTACCCTGGCAAGGTACCCTGGCAAGCCCCCTGGCAAGGTACCCTGGCAAGGCACCTCGCACCTCCAATCCTCCCAACAAGAATAATATATAAAATCAACCAATTACCTTTTGCAAAATCTCGTATGTACTTAATGCTATACATTCTCAGGCAACACTGCTGGCTTGCGGTACCTGGCGGAGGTAACGTGCCTGGCTGTGTATTAACACCTCAGAGTGTCCTGTAACTCAGGTGGTAATCACACGAGGTGTCTTGTGTTGCCTCAATGGCCTGCCCGAGTATATAAATATATATATATACTGAGCTTTAAGACCAAGGGTCTTAAATACTATTTGTCAGGCTAAATGCGATTGTTCTCCTTCCCTCTGGTGTAGCTTGCTCGGGGGAGAACTTTGTGTTCACCTGGGTAATAAAAGCTTCGAAAACCCGTAGCTGAAGAAACAAAACCGGTCTCTCGTAGAACAAAAGCTGGATAACCAACAAAAAAAAATGTGTTTAATAATTGTCTTTAGCGTATTGTAACAAGCTCCTGTTTTGGGTATATGCCTTTTAAGGGGGGAACTAATTATTCAGTAGGCATTTTTATGATCTTAATATCCCCAAGTTTTGGCAAGGGTGGTGATGGAGCACCCTGCAGGAGGCTGGTGATGTAACACCTACATGAGGATAATGACTCCAACTGTATTGCCAAGTTCGTTCCCTCCTTCAACACCTGCAATGCCGAGGCGTCTCCTGCCCCGGTGGGTGTAGCTGAAGCAAAGTAGTGAGGGGAAGTGGATGATGTTTGCGTCTCTTGCCCCGGTGGGTGTAGCTGAAGCAAAGTAGTGAGGGGAAGTGGATGATGTTTGCGTCTCTTGCCCCGGTGGGTGTAGCTGAAGCAAAGTAGTGAGGGGAAGTGGATGAGATTTGCGTCTCTTGCCCCGGTGGGTGTAGCTGAAGCAAAGTAGTGAGGGGAAGTGGATGAAGCAGACGTCTACTGTCCTGAAATCTGCAGGTGACTGTCGGTGGTAAAGCCAGCAATAAACTGCGTCTGTGAAGTCTGAAACACGGCACGAAATGGTCCCATAACCGGGTAAACGGTCCAGCGATATAACCTCCCACCATAAAATAACCGAAACTTTTAAAAAAAATTGTTAAAAGTAATGTTACATAAGATATATTTATTGGTAAATGTTAAATTCATAATAGAGGGGGGGGGGCTTTCATGGCGTTCTTTTGCGTTCTTGCAACTAATTTATCTCCCGGACGAAATATTATAATGAAGAGTTACCTTTTTGTCAGTCCCTACAATGATAATGTCGACAAAACACAATGTATTTTTGTGTATAAAAGAATATTTTTTTTCCCAAAAAAATATTAAAAAAAAAAAAAAAAATCCAGCATCTATAGCTGGAAGCTATAGATGCTTATCTTGAGATGATTTCGCGGCTCAGCATCCCCGCGGCCCGGTCCTCGACCAGGCCTCCATTTTGTTGCACATCCCTCAGGAAGCAGCTCGTAGCAGCTGTCTAACTCCTACGTCCCTATTTACT